GTGGCCATGAAGCTACTCTAGGGATGTCCCCATCCAGGAGTCATTGTGGAGACATCTACCTCCAGCAGGCTTGAGGTTCAGGGGGGGACCCCTGGAGGAGCACTGCCTGTGTGATGGGCAGGAAGGGGTGGGTGGGGGCACTCAGGAACACTATGGTTGTGGTATAGACATCCCAAGTAAGAATAATACAGTACTGGTGGCATCACAGAGTGGCTGTCACATGCCTCAGACACTACTTGGCACTACTTGGTCTTTTGTCCCCTCTCAGAACTGGGTGAGCAGAGTGAACAGACCGCCCCACATTGGCTGCACCTACCACACGATCTCAAATGCCCATACTACTACCATGCAACATCACCCCTACCTGAGGTTGTTCTCCGACATGGCTTAGAAGGGCATGAAGACCATGACAGCTGCAGCTATGAGCAGAGCCCAGCCCCTCCTCACCAAGCTGCATCCTCAGTGTCACTAGTGAGAAGTGGGGAGCAGGGGTGGACATCCCTGCATCTCACATCTGGGGTCAGTGGTATCTGGGGAAGCAGAGTTGGGTGTCACTCCTGCAGAGAGATGTCTTCGGTTGGAGCAGGTGTGAGAGGCAGGTGCTTGAATCAACCCCAGGTCTTGACCTTCATAGCAAGGGCTCTCTTCCCAAAGCAGTCAGGGCTCTGTCAGCTCATCATGCTGTTTTCGAGCCCCTGATACATTCCCCTACTGCTAGTATTGGAGATGCAAGGTAGTAGGGATCCCTACACCTTCAAGAGCAAATTGTTACACCTTCAAGAGCAAATTGGATGCTTCTCTTGCTGAGATCCTATGACCCCAGCTGACTTCCTGCCCTTTGGGTGAGGGGCTGGACTCGATGATCTTCCGAGGTCCCTTCCAGCTCCAGTGTCTATGAAATCTATGAAGCAACACAATTTGCATTTCAGATTTCAATGATTCTAGTGTCTACATCCAGGGAGTATCATACTCAAAGACCCAGTTGCTGCATAGGACTGAAGCTATCAGACCCAATCTTACTCATATTTGGGTGGTTTCTCCAAAGCCCATTCATGCAGAATCTCTTAGTTTCCAACAATTTCAGTGTTTCAGTGAAGACGGAGAACTGCATACTGGTGTCTCTAGTCTCTCTAGGCCTCACTCTGAAGGAAGGAAGATCTTTTGCATAATTAGCTCTAAGTGCTCTGGCTTCTCAGAAGCTGCAAACAGAGGACTTTGAATGGACAAAGTTTTGTCATCTGAGGATGAACCAAAGAAAGACTCTTACCTTCCACAAGGGATGTCAGCAAAGTGACGTTGGCAGCTTTACGCCTTCCTGCAGGGAGATTTAACCCGATTTTCTCTAATCTCTCTCTTAAACACCTTCCACCATTTTTTGATTTTGCCCTGAAAGAAGAAAGAAAAGGGGGAAAAGAAAAAGATTTTAACTGAAAGTTGGGGGATTTCATTTCTAGTGTTGAAAGAAAAGCACCAAACCGCTGATCTTCAAGTCATCGTAAGTTCATGGGACCATGCATGGGCAGATACATTGAGCTTCCATGAAACTCAATTGTAAGACCTACTGATAATAGACTATAAAGTTTGTTAGAATCAACAGTCTATATCAGTGGTCTCCAAACTTTTTTGATCGCGCGCTCCTATCAGTAAAAAATTTTTGAGCACGCACCCCCAATATATGTATATTTATATAAATATACATCTAAATAGAAGTTCTAATATTTTCTTCCCACACCCCAATGGATCATCTTGTGCACCCCACTTTGGAGACCACTGGTCTATATTACAAGCCACATTACAGTCCTAGATCCTTTGGTGGCCACAGACAGAAGCTATTGTTCATTAAAGGAACTGATCTAAGAATAAAAACAACCTTTTACCAGTTTTATTGTTAACTTAACAACAGCAACCCCCAGAGATGCCTTTGTTTCAGATAAACAGTATCTCATTTAAATGTATGCAAGAGACCTACAGGTTAATTTAGAAAGGAATATTTGAGCTGCAAGCTTCTAAGAATTTGCAAGGTAATGCTATGAATTGCCAAAATATCCCTGTATCTATAAGTGTAAGGAAACGTGCTAAATGTGCTCTATGTTAAAGTTATTCTGAGAAAGTCCCACCTTCATCAACAGTCAGCAAGTGAGTTTCTGGTACAGAAAACTTTGTTGTAGGCTCCGGAGGAAGATATTAAAATTGACCGTCATCCACAGCAAGTAGCAAAACATCTGGCCTCTTATCAGAATAACTGAATCCCACACCCCCACCACCTTTGTTGCCCTGAAAAGCAAGGGGGTGGGACTCCTCTGTTTCCCACGACTAGGCATATTACCAGCAGCAGAGCAGAACAAAATGTTAGCGGTGGAGGCTAGGATAAGGGCTCAAACTCCAAAACTTGTCCTTGGATTCAGCTGTTGAACACCCTGAAGTTTGGCGTGGTCCGTGAAAGGCTGAGAGGACAGCTGCAAAATATGAATCTGGATCTGAACTTTCCTAAATTCAGAAGTGTTAAGCCCTGGAGGTTTGCTTTGGCCTTTCTTTCACTTGCGATGTATCCTCCCATGACACCAGATCTGAGGAACCTGCAGGTCCGCATCTGAAGTCAGTGGGGCAATCGGAGAATCAAAGGATTGGAAGGGTCTTCGAGACCCCCTCTACATATTTTATCTATTACTCTGGGTCCCAGCAGCTGTGGGATGCTACCGTGATCTCCCAACAGTGTGTGGGGGGGGGTGTGGAGCACAGTGGCTGTGGTCTTCCAGCTATAGGGGTTCATGGGGTGCCCCCACGGCTGGGAGCCCTGCAGCAGAAGGGGCTCCTGGCCACGGACGCCTGCTTTTTGCCGGTGCAGGGGCATGGCAGGAGGTGTGACAGTTGGGATCATACATTAGATCCCGTTACACCTTTCCTTGCACGTGTAGAGGGGGCTCAAGGGTCATTTAGTCCAACCGCCTACTGAGACGCACAATTCATCAAGTGTTACTTAGACGGTAAGCAATTTGGGCCAGAGCTTCTCCTTCTGTTTTGTGTCCATGTAGCACCTAATATCCTGGGGGCCTGGGCCATGACGGGGGCTTCTTAGGGCTACTACAGTGCAAATGAATCTTATATACCGAAGAGCAGCAAGACCTCTGAAATGGGACGAGCTCAGCTGCTTGTGCTGACCTTGAGGAAGCAGAGGGAGAGAGAAAATTGGAGAGAGAAAAGCAGGACGTGAATTTTACCTCCTGAGGACTCCCCCAAGAAGAGAGGCATTGAGACACTCTGGTGGGGACAGCCTTCTCTGCACTTCTCCAACGGTCACCTTATACTTGGAGGTGGAGCTGAGAAGGGAGAGGCGGCCGGGCACCGAGCAGAAGACCTCGTTGGGATTTGTCACCCCTCCGATCAGACCGTCTTTGTTCATTGACAGGGCTGAGATGGTGGTGCCGTTCGCCTTCGAGGGGATGGGCACTGGAAGAAAAGGCAGAGAGAGAGAAGGGAATGTCACTGAAAGGGCCTAAAGTTAGAGGAGACCCCACACATGGCGATGCCCAGGGCCACTTGGGCAGCTTGCCACCATTCCCCTTGTCACAAAGAAACACCATGTTTGTTTGGCCAGTCTTGCATGCTCCTCAGCAGGGAAATTATTGTCAGGGGTGTTTGATATCAGTGAAAACCCACCAAAGAAAATGTCCTTAATATAACACCTCTCCCACTCTTCTACAAATTCTAGATGTGGGGTTTTGGCTTCGTCTACTGGAGAGCGAAAGGCCAGCCACACATTTCCGTCTGGATGTAAGGGCAGCACCTCAGCTTCATGTCCGCTACGCTCCTTCACCGCGCTTTGGGTTTGGCATCAAGGAAGTATCTGTTCACAACGCGCAGACCTGGGTTCCCTTTCAGGATTTCCAGAACTTATTTCTGAGATGTCGTTGGCACAATCACACAACACCAGGGAGAAGCAACAGGCATAGATAGGCTCTAGCTCTCCCCACACCAAACTAGGAAACAACAAGGGCTGTGTAAAAGCCTGATCTGCAACCCAGTGAAATCACTGAAAAATCATCCATTGACTGTTGCCCCCTCCTCGCAACTTTCATCATCGACCCCTGCAAACAATCCTGATCAAAATGCCTTTTACTTAATGGAAAAAAAAGGTGATTAAAAGCAGAAAGACGGGCAGACAATGGTGAACAACAAGCATCACACAGGGCCCGCAGCATTGCACAAATGATGGAAGTGGCCCATTTTTCCAGACGTCGCCTCAGTACGAAACCTCCTTGGACCCCATAAAGCTTTACTGGTGAGAGCCACGGCTGAATTTTATGCCAAAAGTCCTTGGCTTTTATATTTTGAAATTAATAACTGGCTGAACTGTGAAAAAGCAGGTTTTCAAAGCATCCATAGCTAACTACAAACGCAATCGCTCCAGATCATTTAAGCCCTGGCATTCTTTGTGGTTACTGAGTAATGATTGCTCCATGATATACCTTCAAATAATACATGCGCCTAATAGTTAGATCAACAAGTAACAGGGTGAGATGTAGGTTTTATAAAGGAAATACACATGCCCAAAATGAAACAGCAAACCCCAAATTTAATCTGAAAGGGTCAGTATACTGGGCCCATTAAGGGGCCTTACCATCACCATATTGTAAATACAGCTCAACAACTTGTTAGTGTGGCAATAAAAGAGCAGCACATGTTACATAAAAAGCTCATGGTTTTAAGGCTAAAAGATGAATGGAAATGAGCTAAGGTACATTAAGTTCCTTCTCAGCTTGAGACTAGGACAAAGTCAGGGGACCGAAGGGCGGGTTGCATGGGCTTCCATTCTGCATTCGACAGCTGAGGGTAAAGTGCTGACATTTGCTGCCCTTGGGAAAGTGGCTGATTAAGAGATTGTAAGGGATGGATGGTGGTCAAAATATTCAAGAACATCACTGTATAGGCTAGGAAAGCAGAGCTGCTTCCAGGCAGCGGCAGTCTTAGGGCTTTCTTTCACAATTATCCTCGGGAAAATTCCTAGAATAAAAAAAGTCAGAGCATGTTTTAAAAGTACCAGCATATCATTGCTAGGACATGCATCACTGCAGGTCCAGGCATCACTGTCTATCTGGGCTCCATTGTAACGTATATCATCACCCATCCCCAGAGAGCTGAGTACTACTTGCAGTTCCACCGGGACTGCGTATCATTCTGGATCCATGTATTTCCATGCATTCATGTGTCAGTAAAGAGCAGTGGATGACTTGTAGCTTCGTGTATCATCACACGTTTGTGCATCCCTGTAGTTTCACGCATCAATGCACGCTCACGCTTCACGCACCATCGGGCGGCTCTGTATGTTTGTGCCTGACTCCCCAGCCAGGCGGCACAGTAGACCTATGCATCACCACACCTGCACATGCCTCGACATCTGTTTTCCTGAGTTCTGGGTGAAAATCTATTTGGAGCCGATGCAATTTAAGGTTGGAAACTACCACAAAATTCACCTTGGAGATCCAAAAGATACAATGCAGATGTGTGTTTGTGAGACAGCCAACGTAGTGACAGAGCGCTTTGCAGGGAGGGCAGACACAGCAGTGCGTGGCGGTGCAGCGGTGGGTGGATGAATAATACATGACACAGCCCTGACACATGCTGATGCACGACTGTCCAGTGACGCACGGAGCCATCACAACAGTTTCAAAACATGTGCTGACTCTTTAGGAATATGCACGCTGTAGAAAACAAATCCACCTACAGAGGATTAAGCCAGACCCTGCCACTCCCAGAACCAATATTTTCGATTCCATCAACACCTCTCTGAATCCTGTAGGCACTATTACAAAGAGAACCCACAGCAGACAATTATTTATAAGACCGATTTGTATTACAGTAGTGCCCAGAGGCACTACTAGATCAGTAGGAGTGGAGATCAGGCCCCGCCGTGCTTGGTGCTGTATGTTAATACATGTAACAAGAGATAGTTCCTGTCCCTAAGAGCCTGCCATCTAAGTAACAAACCAGACAGAAGGGGGAAGGAGAAACAGAGGGGTCTGTAGTCACACAACAACACTGGGAATCAAGACTCAGTCTCTTGATTCCCACAGTAGTGCCCCCTCCATTAGACTACCATACAATATAACTCAAACATAGCTACTTCTGCTGTTTCCTTTTTTCCTGCTTGTTTCATCTGATCTGCCACTTCTTTGCCAAAATATACTGTAGGAGGGAGACAAGTTACTGTCAAAGCCTGAGAGCTTTGTTTCCTTGGGAATCAAAATTACCGTGCATCATCCAAGCAAACCAAAAGTCCACTGTGACCTTTAGTCACCGTCTCCCTGCTTCATAGATTCATAGAGGTTAGGGGCTGGAAGGGACCTCCCAAGATCATCAGGTCCAGCCCCCCTGCACTGGGACAGGAAAGACCGCTGGGGCCCCGCAAGGTGTGTGTCAAGATGTTTTTTAAAGATCTCCAGGGTAGGTGACAGTATCACCTCTGGCGGGAGTCTGTTCCAGACTCTAGGCACTCCAATCATAAAGAAGTTTATCCTTATGTCCAGTCTGAATCGATCTTCAATCAGTTTGTGTCCATTGTTTCTTGCCTTGGTGAACAGATGCCCTCCCAGGCCCTGATGTGTGCCCCTTATAGGCTGCCACCAAGTCCCCTCTAAGTCATCTTTTCTCCAGGCTGAGCAGCCCCATGTCAGCAGGGCAGCCTCTCCTCGTATGACCTCTAACCGAGCACATGGCCCTCCTTTGGACTCTCTCAAGCTTCTCCACATCCTTCCTGAAGTGCGGTGCCCAGAACTGGATGCAGTACTCCAGCTGCGGCCTCACCCAGGCCTGTTCCCACAAGCATCCAAGGGCTAGAACACCTGAGCCAGCCCAAATGAAACTACCAGAGGCTGCGCACACGGGGCCGACAGCAGGAAGCTGTATGTGCACTAGCACCGAGCGCACCCGCACCCTAGTGTAGCTTGCAAGAATGGAGATGAATGCATGCATGTGACTGACCCCTCTGGGAAAGCAGAGTTAAGCTAAGCAAACAGTACTTTTAGGGTGTCATCCGTGACCCCAGTGAAGTGAGCACAAGCACTGCAGCAAAGCTGAAGACTCCACTGTGAAGCAGGGTTTGAACTGCAAGATGCCTGGGCTTCTGCGAATTGAATGGTCATGACATAAACAGTCATTCTCGCTTCTCTGGGAAGTATTTGATTACTCTTTGAGCTGAGCAGCGGTGGTGCCCTGCTGCATCGTTTGTATGCGAATCTGAGCCTGAACTTTCCCAATATTCTGGAGCATTTGCCTCCATGGGGCTCAGCATGAACACTGTGAATATAAATGCCATGCGCTTTGTATTACATTGGGTTCTTTTTTATAAAGTCCTTTTGATTTAGATGCAATCTGGTTTTCTATGTATAGGCCTATTCTTATTTAGCTTCAGTAAGCAATAGATATACATAGCCAGGGGTTAATTGCCCCCATTATTTAAAGACAGGCTTATAAATATGTGGAGGCAGGTAGCACTTTGGTGGGCTTAGCTGTCTGCTTTTGCATTTTATACAAAAACTGTATTTCAACAAGAAGCTGGAATAAAGTGATTCATATCAGTACATCCCCCCGACGCTGCTCACCTCTGCAATGAGGTCTATATAAACTCACCCAGTTCCTGGTAAAGGAAGAGTTAAAATGCTCTTTGCTAATAGAGGAGTCAACACAGCAGGCGTTTGCTCTATCCATTGCAATACTTGCCAGAGAGGTAATTGTCCAGGGTTCTGCTGGGGTGAATTACCCCTAGGAGGAGAGCTATAAAGGCAGATCACTGCTTGGTTTTTCTTCCTGGGGTGTCCGAGTTTAGGTTCAGCTGGGCTAGGAAACCAGCAGGTGATCGGATTTAGCTTAGTGAATGCCAGCTTGATGTGCCAGAGTCTTTAAGGCTATAGAAATAAAGGGGATGAGGTGAGCAGGGAACATGCTAAGACATGGCTAGGTGGCACTGTCTGTTTAGCTTTTGCCTCTTCATGTTTGAGTTCTGCACCCCTGGCTCAGCTGCTGTTCCCTGGCATGTTTCAAGTGACATTTTATTGACTGATAATAGTAACTTCCTAGGAAAGCTTGAAGCCTGATTCCTTCCTGACATGTCTCCCTTCACTACAGGTAGCTGCTATTATTATTATTATTATTATTATTAATTATTATTTATTATTAATTATTATTTATTATTAATTATTATTTATTAATAATTATTATTTATTAATAATTATTAATTATTATTATTAATAATAATAATATCATCACTGAAACAGTTCCCATTTTGCTACCAAGTAGCATAAAGAAACAACCCCTGCCTCAGATGGCTTGCAGACTACACGGTAGGTGAATGAAAGTAGAGTACACACTGACAGTAGATGCAAGTACATGTCCAGACATCAGTAGTCTACTGTCCTGCCAGTGCTAGGTGACAGCAATTAGTAAGCACCATGACAGAAGTATGACACAGAGACAGATTTAAAAGTGGGACGCTTTTGTGCTGGCATAGGAATAAATTGCGTTTGTGGGGGGGCACTGAGCTTTGCCTGTGCACCTTTTTAAATTTAGGGTCTTAAAGGCCAGAAGTGACACGGTATCATTAATAAATGATGTTTCTTCTATGCTGGATGTACCCAGAGGTCCCACTGAGGACAGCCCTATTGTGCAAGGTGCTGTTGTAGTAGTAAGCATCTGTCTGTCACCTGAGACAACAGAATTAGGCCAAGTGAGACATCAGCTCGCTGAATGTAATCTTCACTTGAAAATCAAGTGAAGCTGGAGTGACCTCTCCAGGGTGCAAAAGCCTGGGCAGTGTATATGGAGACACTGAGCTGCTCATACATTAGTGTCCGCCTCTCAGCCTTGCTGGTTTAATTCAAAGGAAAAAAAGGTGCCGGCACATTTGGAACCAGGTGGGCTGCAGGAGCTACCAAAGCAAAGGAGATCATCCATTTGTCTGTCTATCGGGGCTTCAAGGTATTGTACACACACATAAAAGGGATAGAAGCTGTTGCTCTTTGGTGCTTAAAATGTAAGCTGGTAAGGGTGGCAATGGGCAATATTATCACCTCCATTTCACATAGGGGGAACTGTGGCCCAGAAGGACTAAGTGACTTGGCTAATGTCATGCGGAGACTCTGGGGCAGATTTAGGTGTAGGCCCAACCCAGAGGCTGCTGCTACCACTTGTGGCACTCATGCTGCAGGTTGGCCACCCCTGACTTAACCCAAATCTTTTGAACCCCAGTGGTTTAATTGCAAGGCTGCCCTCCCTCTTAAATACACCAAAAAGATCTCTGAAACTAATGGTGCAGTCTCATCACTGAAGGAGATGCACCCGCGCAATGTTTGTGCTGTAGGACACGCTGCCTGGAAAGATGGCAGAGACTCCACAGCATGTCTTACCTGTGCTAGAAAATGGCTGGGAATGAGGAGAAAAGTCAGTGATGCTGCAGTCACACAAGTTAGGGGAGGAAGAGTGTCTTGAAAATAAAATAAGATCAATCAAGCTGTGTCTCTCTGCCCGAGATGCAATAAATTAGCTTTTGCATGCGAGGCCCAATATCATCAGCCTTGCTGAAAGGCTACCATAGGGTGCTGCAGTTCTGATCCCTGCATTTTACATAAAGAAACT